CTTGAATTTAGAAAATTAATTTCTTGAATTTAGAAAATTAATTTCTTGAATTTAGAAAATTAATTTCTTGAATTTAGAAAATTAATTTCTTGAATTTAAAAAATTAATTTCTTGAATTTAGAAAATTAATTTCTTGAATTAAGAAAATTAATTTATTGAATTTAGAAAATTAATTTATTGAATTTAGAAAATTAATTTATTGAATTTAGATACAAAACTGGGGATTCATTTGACGGAGGTTCCAGAGTTTCACTCTCATCTGGAACACCTGAACAATTTACAACAGGAACATACATTTAGAAACATTATTTTACTTGAGATTTTTCACACAGTCGTCGTTATAAATTTCAAAACAAAGAAAACGACCTTCGATTTAAATGTTGATTTCTACCAAGCTTTCAAACTGCATGGATAAATATAAACGTACATTGAAACAAAGAGAAACTACCAGTTAGCAGTTCTCTTTCTTCACAATTGTAAACTTGTAAATTGAAAAAAAAAAACATTGTTAGAAGTTAAAACCTTAACTTTAAAAGTCAACTTCACTGTATTGATATTAACACCGACCACTGTATAGTGCTGTGTGTTCCACTAAAAATACCAGGTTTTTGAAAGTAGAAAAATATTTCGTCTTTTTTAAATATATCATGGTATTATTTAGTAAACCTTAAAGGGAGTGTTCGCCAAAAATAAAAGGGGTATTGGCTTACGGAGAAAAATAAGCGCTTTTGATCGCTACTAATCTTACTTCTAACTGTTGCGTTTATAAGGAGAAAATTGCTAAAAACGTTTCATGTTGAAGAACGTAGCGTCCATACAAATTCAGAAAGTTGCAACATTCAACTCGGATCGTAAAATAATCAATTCAATTCCAAACAAATCATTTGGATATTACAAACAATAGACATCGATTATTTTTCGACGCATTCGTATATAGTTAATATTTCATAATATTTTTGATTTTTGTTTTTTTAAATAATATTTCGCTGGTGCAGGATTTTTGAACATTCCTGGAAAATATAAAAATGTCGTCTTCATTATCAAAAATCCTCGAAACAGGAATGAACGTTTTCAAAAGTAACTATCAGATCATAAAAAATAAAAAATATTATGAAATATCAACTATATACGAATATGTCGAATAATTATTGATGATTATTGGTTGTAATATCTGAATGCTTTGTAAAAATATCAAATGCATTACTTTAATGTCGGCTTCCTGTTTTACAGTTTTCATTTCATTAAACTCTACAAAAAACACACAGCTATAAAATTAAGCTACATTTGCATATCATTAAAATTTTTATTTTCTATGAAAGAAAATATATTAATTCTAAATGTTGTTTTCTATAGAGTAACCTAGAGACAAGTGTAACCCTGTCCTACAGTGGAGTAGAGACAGGACAGAAAACATCATTTACATATCAGGACACAAGGACACAGGACACAGATAGGAAGCAGGAGGACAAGATAATAGCAAACACTGTCACCATTGGAGGACCGTTCTCAAGATCGGTAGATCCAACAAGGTAAAACAATTGGGAACCCATAAAACTGTGAAATAGAAAGTTGGTTTTGGAGCAATATCATTTCGGGGGAGTGTTACCCCCTTCTTGATTTTCCAGATAGGGGAACGTCCCCTTTCCCCCCTCCCCCCTTAAGCCACCTCTGACAATGTCAATTGATATATCATATCTTACATGATAGGTGTGCTAAATTTGCATAGGCATTTTTATATAGTTTATTATGTTTTAAACTAAAATTTCATGTTTAGTGAGACAAACTGAAAAATTAGAATTCTTGTTTCAGGTTTTACTCTGTACACTGTTACCTGTATGGCGCCTCTTATTGTCCATGAGAATATCAGGATAATTTATCGATCTCAAAATATATTTTTCAAAACCCACTGTAATGTCCGACTGAACACTTTATCGTCCCGGCTGAACACTTTATCGTCCCGGCTGAACACTTTATTGTAGTGGCTGAACACTTTACTTTCCCGAGTGAAAACATTATTTTCCCGGCTAAAAACCTTATTTTCCCTGCGGAAACTTTTTTTGTCCCAGGCCTGGCTGGATAATAAGCAAATATTAGCTTAGGACATATCACATCTTGACATTTTGAATATCTCGACATTACTTGATTACTAAGATCCCGCCTCAATATTAAAATATTCAGCCACAATGATCCAAACGTTACCTACAAGCTCTCGCGGAATAAATTCATGAAAATTTTGCCAAATACTTGAAGCTATAAACAGGTGCTGTTTAGTTCTAAAAAAAAAACATGTTCAGGGCTACAAAAAAGTGTTTGTGATGTAAAATTAGAGGCAAATTAAGGCTTTGTAACACTTAAAAATTGACCCAGTCTTAAAAATTGATGCAACTTTTCCTAGAAGTCTAGATCTATATCCCGCCCCAACCATTGACCAGGAACAGTTAGTTATAATAACAATCTATTGCGTCATTATTCCTCCCTTTTCCGGTATTCAAACTTTCCTATTCAATATATAGAAAAAGTACCCCTCCACCCCCCTCGCCTCCATCATAATTATGATAATTAGATAGTTCTCCTTCAATGTATTTACGGAAATTTACGTAATACATATATTTCGAGCTTCCATTTATTTACACCAGCTTATACATTTTTTTAATAATAATCAGTTACATATTTCACGTATGTTAATGGACATTTTATATTGTATATTGTGTGGTGTTAATCTTTATAATTTAAAATAAAACATATGATTATACTACTTTACTACTTTATGCGTGATAATTAACAAGATGGAAAATGAAAAATAAAAGTTTTATTTTTATTTTGTAACACTGGTTTTCTCCTCATAGAATGGTACTTATGACGACCTTGCAGGTTGAATTATATCGGCAGCGTTCAGCGTAGTCTATAATGGAATATATAAATGATACGAAGAAGAAAAACATGGGCAGACCTTGGTTCGTTTTTCCACCAATTTATGGATTTTAAGTTTAAATGCACACAGTACTCTTCCATAAAAAATGGTTCCACTATTTCAAAATTCAAATATGTATTCTGTAAAAGTTTGCTCTTTTTAAATTAAAGGCAAAAATCTTTCTTCTCCTAGAGTTGGAATTTGGCAAATGTTTAGGAAAAGCAAATGTTTTAGAAAAGCAAATGTTTAAGGAAAGCAAATGTTAAAGGAAAGCAAATGTTTAAGGAAAGCAAATGTTTAAGAAAAGCAAATGTTTAAGAAAAGCAAATGTTTTAGGAAAGCAAATGTTGGGACACTTCAAAGTTGACCCAGTTTTAAAAATTGATGAGAATTTATTTTAAGCAGGATCAATCCATGTTGTCACTTAAAATTACTCATTTTGACCGTTTAAGTTTAAGATTTTTAGTCTTATCTGTTTCAAATTCAAGACCTCACATTATGTGAGAAAAATCTAAAATTGTCAAAAGATTTTATTCCTGTTCAAACCTAAAATAAAAAGCGCGGTTGATTGTAATCAGAGTACGCCAGTTTAACGGCACAGTTACGTTTCTGCTACAGAGCAATCTAACTCAATAGTGTCGTTAACCCAGAGTAGGGAGCGGTTAATGATGGAAACATTTTTAGTATCTCGTTAGCAGACTAAACATTCCTTAAACATACACAGAGATAGACAGACACACAAATGGTTGAATTGAAAGCAATGTTTCATTAAAACATTCTCTAGATTTTCTAAATATTATCTAGGAATAATCTAAACATATAATCTTAAATATGGCCTATATATATATATCTAGCAAGCCAGGAGGGACAATAATTAAAACTTTATGAAGAAACAAAAAACAAAAAGAAAATAAAAAATATGGTAGACATTTTACGGCGCTGAAAGAAAGAGGAAAAGAAAGAAAAAAGAGAACAGAATACCAAAAAAGACAGAGAAACTAAGAGAAAAAGAAAGAAAGAGAATCAGCAAAAAACAGTATGGAAGAAAAGGAAAGATAAAGAAAGAATAAGAAAGAAGAAGAAAGAAAAAGAAAGAAAAAAAAGAGAAAACAAGGAGGAAATAGAGAACGAAAGTAAGAAAGAGAGAGAGAGAAGGAAAGAGTTTGTCAAGAAAGAATGAGAAAGAAAGAGAATATCAAAGCAAAAATATTTGTAATTCTGATAATTTTATTGACCTATTATGCATTATACCAATTCTCTCTCTTTGAAAACATATTGACAATTAAATGTACGCGATTTGCACTCTGTAGTTTTATTTACGTAAATTGTATGTTTTAACAACATTGTATTATGAAAATAGAAAAACCTGCTCCAACTGAACTGCAATGCACGTAAGTTTACAAGTGCATGACTTACTTGACCGAGTTTTACATATATAATATAATACAAGGCACGCGTTCCGCTGTTGTTTTGTTTGGCATATCCGCAGTTTGGTGTATCCGCAGTTTGGCGTATCCGCAGTTTGGTGTACATTTATTCAAATTATTATACTTTATAACAGATCAGCTCCTGTTGTCATGAAGGACAATCAATATTCAACACTTTTTTATTTTGAATTATTTAATAAAAGTGTACGCTACTGTAAACTGCGAATATGTTTACTATAAACATGTTGCTTTCCAGTCCAATTTATACTCTATAACTAGTTACCGTGACATGCAGATATTCATCAGTTCAATACTTCACTTCTCATAGATAACAACCCTATCCTGTATCCTGTATCCTGTATCCTGTATTCTGTATCATGTATCCTGTAGCCTGTAACCGTTAGCTTGTATCCTGTACCCTGTAGCCTGTATTCTGTATTCTGTATTCTGTATCCTGTATCCTGTATCCTGTATCCTGTATCCTGTATCCTGTATCCTGTATCCTGTATCCTGTATCCTGTATCCTGTATTCTGTATCCTGTAGCCCGTATCCTGTATCCTGTATTCTGTATCATGTTTACTGTATCCTGTAGCTTGTATCCGTTAGCCTGTATCCTGTACCCTGTATCCTGTAGCTTGTATCCGTTAGCCTGTATCCTGTACCCTGTAGCCTGTATTCTGTATTCTGTCTCATTTTTCCTGTATTTTGTATTCCTGTGTTCTGTAGCTTGTATCATGTATTCATATTCTACGAATTTTATACTGAGCTGAGAACTTGATCTCGATATCCATATTGGGCCTTTTTTGCATGAGGATCAATGCTTAATCTCTTAATTTCAGTCATATCAGTTATTTACAATGAATCTACCACTTAACTTGAACTATTTTAGTGATCAAAATGAAAAATGAAATTGTCACTAATAAGACCAAGTATCGTTGAAAATTAAGAGCTAAACCACTAGCCATGAATAAGAGACTTGCATTCTTTTCTTTTCTTCCTTTGATATGGAAGGTAAGTTAACAAAAATATAACCATATAGTTGACGATACCTCTCATATTTCCGTTAAAGTCTCTTTCCACTAATACCTTTTAATGTCTCTCATGGTCATAATCAAGCTAAAACGTTCATGTCCCTGTTTACAATGCAAAGGGCCAATTTTTATTAATAACTTATTTCTTTTTATTTAAAGAAGCAGTTGACTTAATTTCAAGTAACCTTTCAATTTAAGAGTTCCATGCCCGATCTACTTGTACCTTTTAAACCTTTATCTTAGCAAGCAAGATATTGAGAAATTCTAGGATTTTTTACCTAACAATCGATAGTTTTAGTTACAAATTTGGATAGAGATTTCTTTTTACTTATCTAGCAAACTTCACAAAGAAGGAAATTAATTTAAAATGAGAATTTTCTCGGATTTAATTGCTAGAGAGGTGAATGCGTGTAGTTCAAGGTTTTAACTAAAACCTTTTAAAGTAACAAGCTGAGTCATTGTTTAAAAATGCTCTAGCTAATTTAGAACTGCAGTCCTTATAAGTGATTTCTTTCAAATTGAAACTATTTTTTGAGCACTGTCCTTTTAATGTTTGAGATAAATCGATTGGGGTTAAAATTTCTGACCTAACTAAAGCTTGGATCGATTTCGTTAACACTCGATTTAGAACAATTTTGATGAATATTTGATGAGAAATGTCATCAAAATATTTACGCATACACAGAAAATTTATTTTTGAAATTTTGCAAAGCAAACCGTCCGTAAAAGTCCTTGTGTTGTTTGACTTTTTTAAATTTGCCATTTCATATTTCATGCAATTAAAATTTTGGAGTATGTCTTTAAACTGCTTAAAATACCTGCACATAGTAAAGGCTAAGAGAGGTAGCCTTGAGGTTGACTACGTTTAATAAAATCAGAAAACTTTAAAATGTTTAAATGTCCTCTGTGTTGCCCTTATGTATGATTCCTATTTGAAAACATGTTTTTTATAATTATATTATGTCCTGTGTCAATTGTTCTTTTTGTCTGCAAAATCTTTCTACTCATTTTAATCTGTACTATCTGGAAATTCTGTATTATCTGTATTATCTAAACCATCTGTTTATTCTGTACTATCCGTATAATCTGTACTTTATGTTTAATCTGTATAAAATCTGTACTATCTGAATATTCTGTAAAATCAGTACTATCTTTTGTATCTGTATTATCTGTTCTATATGTACCATCTGTACTATCTGTGCTATCTGTGCTATCTACACTATCTGTTCTAACTTTACTATATGTACTATCTGTACAATCTGTACTATCTGTACCATCTGTACTATCTGTACTATCTGTACTATCTGTACTATCTGTGTACTATCTATACTATCTGTACTATCTGTACAATCTGTACTATCTTTACTATCTGTACTATCTGTACTATCTCTACTTTCTGTATAATCTGTACTTTCTGTACTTTCTGTACTATCTGTACTATCTGTACTATCTGTACTATCTGTACTATATGTACTATCTGTACTATCTGTACTATCTGTACTATCAGTACTATCTGTACTATCTGTACGATCTGTACTATCTGTACTATTTGTACTATTTGTACTATCTGTACTATCTGTACTATCTGTACTATCTGTGCTATCTGTACTTTCTGTACTCTCTGTACTATCTGTACTATCTAAACTATCTGTATTTATCTTTGATTAGAATGTAACCTGCCAGGAGTATGAAGTTACAGATATCTACTGTAGAAATGGTGACACACAGCTTCTAAGAGCTGTATTAAGGGAAACCAAGAATCCTATTTAAATTGTTTAATCCTTCAGACATCCCTTTCCCGTCCCAGCAATTTAACTAAATGGGAAAATGATAAATGTATAATCAACTTTCAAGTATTATATTATAACAGAAACTTATAAATGTTTTAATTGATTAATTAAACAGAAAACTGATAAATATTTTAATGGATTTATTGAACAGAAAACTAATAAATATTTTAATGGATTAATTGAACAGAAAACTAATAAATATATTAATGGATTAATTGAACAGAAAACTAATAGATATATTATGGACTAATTGAATACAAAACTAATGCATTTTTTATGGATTAATTGAACAGAAAACTAATAAATATGTTTAATGGATTAGTTACACACAAAACTAATAAATGTTTTAAGGCTTAATTCAACAGAAAACTATATACATTTTTATGGATTATTTGAATAATAAACTAATAAATGACTTAATGGACTATGTGAACAAAAAAATTTAAAAAAATACGTAATGGATTAATTAAACTGGAAACTAAAACATATTTTAATGGATTAATTAAACAGTAAACATTAAAAAGCTTAATGGCAAAATTGAATAAAAGCTAATAAATATTTTAATGGATTTATTAAACAGAAAAATAATAAACAATTAATAATGTTTGAACGGATTATTTGGACAGGAAACCAGTTGGATTTAAAGGAGTTCCAATCTTTGCTGATGACAGATCAACAAACCCTCTCACTAGGTTGAAAATTTTTTTATATAAAAACGCCAAAAATATATCATTATGTTAAATTTTAATGAGTGTCAAAAACCACCTAAATCAATGGCATACCATATTTGTTTGTTCTTCTGTATTGGGCTGAGTATCTTGATCGTAATAGCACTAAACCGCAAAGGTCGAACTCGTAAACTTTTAAATTTTAAGTTCAATTTTTGGCGTATGTGGAATACCCATCAGGAGCAATTAAAACTGATTTTTAAAAAGAGTTCCGATAAATTGAATTAATCCACCGGGGGGAATTGGAACCGACTACGTGCGTTATGATCAGATATAAAGTACAAAATGTTTGACGTCTTCTTGCTTGTTTATCGTTTATTTGATCAGCAGTATCATTAAACCACAAATTGAGAACCAATTATCTATGTTTGTTTTTAAATCCGTAAAACTTTTTTTAAAAAAACCATTAAAAATTAGGCATGTAACTTAAATATAATTTTGAATTTAGATTTTTGTTGGGAGGAAGGGGGAGGGATGTTTTCCACATGTTTTTTTTTCTAATTAACTCAAAAACGGCTTACATTAGAACACTAAAACTTCTTCACTTTTTCAACGTTGTTGTGATTAAATCTTGAACAAATTATGCAAAGGGTATAGGTGGAGGAAAGTATCGGCGGGTCGGTGTGTTTCACACAAAAAAATGGTTAATAAATTCATTATTAATTAGGCTACAGGACTAACAGTTATATATTTGAAAAGCCATTGAAAAATGGATGTATTAACAGTTGTCAAATGTTAATATTTATAAAACGTAAAAATGATTATTTTTGAAAATTTTTCTGACGTCATTTTGAAACTTTTTTCTTAAATCCTCCCTTGCAACCTAACCATTAAAGTTTTTTAATGAACAGGCTTTGAAAAGTTGAACTAGGGACATGTGTCACACTCCCCTATCTCAACTCTAAGGGCAAAAAAATCCCCCCCCCCTCGTTCTACATATATTTTAAACAAAAATAAGAAAAGATGCCGACCATTAAGAATTAAATAATTTATTTATTTTAAAAACATTGATTTATCTTTTATGTTTTAGTGTGAGTTGTCAAATCAGACCAGATATATCTAGTGACGGGTAAGATATTAATTACTTTATATCCCTCATAATTACATTATTTCCCTTCCTCAGTCAGACTTTATATTTAGTCAAATATTTTCGTTGCATTTATAGATGCGCTTGCATCAATGGGATAAAGAACTGCATAGATTCAGCCTGCTTATACAAATTATCATCAACTTTAAAGGCAGGTTCAACTTTGAAGTGTCGCGACGCCTGGACTTTGATTTTACCGCTCTAACATGACTCATACTTTTCTGTATCCCTTAACATGCAAATTTTAGCACTATAAAGCTTTGGTTTTAAGAATTAATTCGCAAAATTCTCATCGATTTTTGCTTGAGAGCTTGTGACCTTTAAAACACAGTGATCAGTGCATAAGTACCTGCTACAGGGTTACTCAAAATTGGATGAGGTTGTAATGACGACCTGAAACTATTAAAATGTTATTATTTCAAGGTTAATTTAATTCTTCTGTATTAAAGATAGACTTTGTATGGCCTGTTTAATTAATTAACTAAGAAGTAAAGAAGTTGAAGAGAATTATAAATGTAAGTCGTCTTTGAAGTCTTATCCTTCGTAGGTAACCCTGTACGTCAAGAGTTAAAACATTTTAAGATTAAGATGGGATTTTTATTAACATCTTTCGTGCTAAGGAAAATTGTCGCTCAATCTTTGAATTTTCCACCTTAAATGTTGCTTTACTATTCCACATTTGTAGGAGTCTCACTGCATATTTTTATAATCTAAATTTTTTTTTTATAATATTCATTGTCATTATTTTTTTCTCAATCATACAGGGTTATCCACAAAGGTTAATTCTTCAAAGATGATTTGTCTGTTTTCTTATATTTTTGATTTCCTGCAACTGTATACTTTTTTTTCTGCCTAATCATTGAAGATGCCTTAAAAAAATTATATTCAGAATACCTCGGAATCGTCAAAGTTCGACTTTCAGGTCGTCTTTATAGTCTCTTCCTTTGTTGGCAACCCAGAACATCACTGTTACATATTAGGTTAAGTTACAGCCTGATAGTCAACGATTTCTCAAGATGCGGGACTATTGTTAGAAACAGTTTCATCAATATCAGGGTAATTTATCTTTAATTTAGGAGTTAAAAGTGTTTTTTTTACTATTTTTATACTTAGTGTGTCCTTTAAAATGGGAAAAGATTGAAAATGTTGAAAAACCCTTGCATTGTTGGAAATAAATAATATTATATTGTACTGTGGAAGACGATGCCTGGCCGCCTTAAACAAGTTCCACAAGATTCAACGGAATGAGATAGAACGAATACGGGGCATTGTACTGACGGACAGTCTAACACGTGTGATATTGATATAGACTCATGTTCTGAACCCTCTAGTAATAAGTTATAAGAAATATAGATACTGGAAGTACTTTATGCGTTTTTATTAGAGTCTGACTAACGTCCTCTATAGTACTCTAAAAAACATTTTTGGTATTTTTTTAAGTTATAAAATTATTATGTAATATACCGAAAAAGAGCATTGTGGAATTTAAGTTTTTCTATTTTCAAAAGTTTAGGCTGCAAGGAAGTTATCAAATAAATTGTAAAAAGTAGGTCAGAAAATTTTAAATAAGCATTTTTTATTCGTTTTTACAAAATGTGTAGCATTTTGGTAACTAACAATTTGGTAACTTATAATTTGGTAACTAACAATTTGGTAACCTGACAATTTGGTAACACGACAATTTGGTAACCTGACAATTCGTAACCGACAGTATGGTAACTAACAATTTGTATAATTGAAACACCCTGTTTTAAACCTGATTATTTAAGGTTTGGTTTCCCCAGCTGCCAGGTGTTGTAATGTCCACCGACAAGGTAAATAAACCCAGCTGCCAGGTGTTGTAATATCCACTGACCAGGTAAATAAACCCAGCTGCCAGGTGTTGTAATGTCCACCGACCAGGTAAATAAAAACTTTGGGATCTAACAAAAAGAAATATAATTTACAAAAGAATTCATATTAATTATTCAAATTTTTTTTTTGAACTCGTCCTCCCCCGAAAACAAAATTGTATAGTATTATTTCATTTTCATGATTTTTTTTCAAAATTGGAATTAATGTTTTTTTCTTATTTTTCGACCTATCTTGGGATATAAAAATAAACTCGGGGGTTTACATTTTTAAATTGGTTCTAATTTTTCTGGCAGGTTTATATCAAAATTTGTACCATATTGTTTTTGGTAATAGATATAATGAAGCTCTTGGCTCATATGTTAGTGCTGGATAGAATTAGCTAAAACATTTTATGAAACCCAAGGGTACCCATGAGGGTTACATAAAAATGTTTCTGAAAATCCACCGGCAACATTGAGCACTTCAGCTAGTATATATAGTTACATAAAATTTAATAAAATTAAGGAAGTGATTATCATGTGTAAACCTCCGGAGTCTACTCTTCCTCTAAATCAACAAGAAAGGTAAGAAATAACCTATGCCATTTAAAAAAAATATTATAATTTAGTTTCCAAACACCATTTTTAGTTTTAACAAATGTAAATTTAAAAATAACAATACTGTTAGGTCACAAATAAGGTTGTAAATAATAGTTTTCAGACTTGAGAACTAAAGTGTTAAATGTAATTTGAGGCCGAGTTCAAATAATTTGAGCCGCGTCTCAAATTTGAGACGAGGCTTAAACATGGTTTGATCTACTTGAAAACATATTTAACGTTTCAAGATTTGAGCCGGCGTTCAATTGGAACCGGCTTTTGGCGGTTCAGCGACGTGGTTCTAATTATTTAAATTCTGCCTTTGGATAAATATTATTTTAAGTTCCAATTAAATGTTTAGTGCTGAAGATTACAACTTGGACTACATGGTTTCCCTTTATAAAGAAGCTGAGAAGGTACAGTGAGAATCATAAAACTCTGGAATAGGAAAACGACTTTCAAACTTAAGTTATGACTTTAAAGTCCAATGAACATGAGACAGGGCAATTGTGCAGTGTTAACAGACACATTTCATCTTAAAAGTGATTTTTGGGTTTTACACCATTTCTTGTAGACCTCGACATATCCATTTTAAAAATGCAATGTGTTGTTTCTGGTTTAAGTTGAAAAAGAGTAATTGGAAAAATTCTTCTCGAGTTTTCTAGTGAGAGCATACTCATATCTAGGTTTGCAATGACAAATTGTGCACTATATGCCTTTACAGGGTTCTACGAGAAGAGAGAAGAATAAAGCAGTTCCTATTGGTACAATGCTTCAGCTAAGAGCAACAATTAACACAAACTCAGGTTAAACATATTAGAATGTTCTGCTGGCGCAAATGGAATAAAGGGTGTCTCAAAAACATGAAAACTCATGGAGAAATTAACAAATGCCATATTGAATTTGTGTGGTTTTATTTCGTGTACTTTATTTTTACCTTTCCATTTAAAAACGAAATTTTTTCTTGGTCAATATGAATAGATGAACAGTCTGAGAATCAGAGACAAGTCTGAACATTATGAGAAATCATTAAAGAAAAACAAGTTTTTGAAAAACTTTTTTTTAATTAAAACTTATTTTTGTAATTAGTTAATTTTATTATGAAAAAGGTTTTATTGTATAATTGTTATATTTTCTGTAAGAAATATTGATTTAAAATTAAATTGATTGTAAGCGTTATTTCAAGTGACCCTTCATCAAAGATTACAATGCCTGATTCACAACGGTACCCTTTAAAAGTCTTGTTTGATCAAGTACAAATTTAATATAAATGTTTTTAAAGGAATTGAGTCTTTGCCACAAACCCGAATTTTCTAATCCCACTAAATGTGAAGCTTTTTAATGTAAATGTTAATGTTAATGTTTTTGAAACTTAGATTATTTGATCTGGCATAATAGTTCAAATATTTAAGGTCTACGACGTTGGTTTGCAAAAATATTGGTATTAGAAAATCAAAGTTTGTGGCAAAGACTTAATTCTTTTGAAAACAGATTATTTTGAATTCTAATTTCTCTTCAATTTCTACTGCAGAAGAGCAAATTGAAATTATCTGAATTATAAATTGTCAAGCTAGAAAAACGACATTTTTGATCATATAAAAGCTTCAAGAGTACCGTTGTGAATTGGGCATCATCGTCATCTATGTGACATGAAATAACGCTTACAGTCCCATTAATGAATGTTTAGTGTGGAAGCATATAAAACTGCTCGAGGTTAGCCTATCCCCCAGTAAGAAGGATCCGAATGCGTTTGGTCACGTGATGCTTGTTCAGGATGGGTAGGTTTATTTCAAATATTGATTTCTTCACTGTAAAAAAAACATAATTTAGCGGTTCACAAGAAAAAAAAAGAAACTTGCAAAGTGTATTTTGTCAATTTGTATTCGTTAACTCAAAAGCCAAAAACGTAAAGCCATTGGAAAACTATTTGAAAAATGAAAAAAAAATCAAGACATTTGAAACAGCGTTAGATATGATGTTTAGGTGCAGAATTGAAGAGTTTTCCAGTATAGTTCCAGACCAACCTAAACTCTCGACTAACTCAACTGGAGAGGTATTTTTACAATTTTTTTCCGATCAAAAAATCTTAAAACTTTCTTACGCAATACAGGGAGACCCAAAAAATTGTGAAATATGAAAATCTTAAAAAATGTTGTCGGAAAGCAAATAGTTCAACTAATTAGCTTTATAATGAACTTTTCAAGTCAAGTAGGTCTGCAAAGCTTATTATTTCCCCACCAACTCATATTTTCTAATTTCTAGATATTTCCAACCCAATGTCATTGACCTCATATATTTCTGTTAGATCAAATCATCTAAGTTTGAAATATGAAACTTTAACACTGTCAGGTTGCAAAGATATTGGGATTGGAAAATCTGAGTTTGTGGCAAACACTCCAATCCTTTTGGAGTTTAACCGATCTCGTATTTGTCAACACTTGAGATATTTACTTGCTTTTCAAAAGAAAAATGTATATTTGCACTTTTGTGAATAAGGTCTGATCCTGGTACCAAGGTAATTATATGTTAGGTATTCAAGGTACCGTAAAAATGACCCTCCTTGACCCTCCTTGACCCTCCTTGACCCTCCTTGACCCTCCTTGACCCTCCTTGATCCTCCTTAACTCTCCTTGACCCTCCGTGCATATCAGATTCACAACTGGACCCTGCTTTGTATGATTAAGTATAATGAATCATTTTTTTTAAACTGATAATTTACATCTGTGGTTTCTATACAAGCGTTTTGTAATTATAACTTCAGAAATCATTAAGCTCTGAAGCTAGAAAAAACAACATTTTCTTCCACATTATTTATCAGAAGGGACTGTAAATGAAAGGGGGTATAGGCTAAATCTTGAGAATCTCAGGAGTTGAACGATATATATCAGACATCTATCTGATGTTCCTGTCACGAGAAATTGATATAAACTGTGTCAAAATTATACCAAAACGTTGATACGTCAGATTTTGTATAAAATAAATCATATTGAACAAGTATGTATTGTCCGTATAGTCCATATTACGTCACCAGAACTTCAGCCATTGGCAGTGCAGTATACATGGTCACGTGATATATATCGTTCAACTCCTGAGATTCTCAGGTTTTAGCCTATACCCACTTTTTAGTTTTCCTTTACAGTCCCTTTAAGCTGGTTTAAAGGTACTATTGTGAATCGTGTATACCCCTTTAAACTGAAAGACAACTCAAAATTAAAACGACATTTCCCTTTAATAAGCAAATTGATAATATCCATGATATCAGGTACATCTTGATTTTGAGGCGGTTATGCTTGATGCTAACCGGGACAAAACTAGCCAGGTCTGGATACATGCACGTAGTAAAGCTTGCAGGTATAATAACAAAGCCATAGATAGATAGATAGATAGATAGATAGATAGATAGATAGATAGATAGATAGATAGATAGATAGATAGATAGATAGATAGATAGATAGATAGATAGATAGATAGATAGATAGATAGATAGATAGATAGATAGATAGATAGATAGATAGATAGATAGATAGATAGATAGATAGATAGATAGATTTATGTATATAAATAAAGATAGAAAGATAAATAGGTATATTTTGTGAAAAATGTTAAGAATCCTTACAGAGTTACTCACTTTATAAGAGCTTTGTCTATGGAGATATCCTTCTCTTTCCATCTGAAAATTGATAAATTTATCCATACAATGTTCCCAGATTAAGGTTTAAAGCGTATTGTTGTCAATCGGGGATGTAAGTTTTTAAGTGAAAGGTTGTGAATTACTAAAGTTCATTTTGTGCAGAGATCTTGTTGGATGTGAACCCTCATCATGTTCTCCGAGTACTAGACCCAGGGGACGGGGTAGAAGGGAAACTAGAGGGGTGGAGAAGGACGAGAAGAAAGAGATGGAGGAGAATGAGGACAAGAAGGAGATGGAGGAGCAGGAGGAGGACAAGAAGGAGAATACTCTTACAGGAGTTGGAACCATCCTCCCCTTTGGTAGGAAACTTATAATTTGAAAAGACTTTGATAGAAATCAAAACTTAGATAGAAAGATTAGTTTATTGTATTGATATAAACGCTGACCACAGTAAAATTACCTTACAACCCAAATTTTTATTTATGCCAAAAATATTGTAGTTCCCTTGGAGCGAAGATTTCAAGTTAAAAAAGAACAAATTCTCCAGGGTGGTTCAAAACTCATCAACAGTAAAGGAATTATTGTGAAGAACTCCGACAGCAATGGCTCCAACAGTATACGAATATTAAAAAACTATGCTCTCAAGAAAAGTCCGTCTGCAAGAGAAAAAGAAATAAGCGCCAGGGCAGAAACTATTGAAGGAAGAGATCTTGCTTCCAGGAGTGATGAAGATGATAAGGACACTGACTTCATTGACAATGTTGGACTCACTGTCATCATGCCGGGAGGTACAAACACTTAACAACTTATGTTTTCACAAAAATATTTAACTGCAGAAGATTTTTAAAGTTTAAAAAACAACATAAAAAAATCTTTTTCAATCATTTTCAAAAAAAACATGTGAACAGGGTTACCCACAAAAGATGAGACTGTAAAGACGACCCAAAACTCTAAAAATGTGACGACTTGAAGCTTGATATTTGGTTTCTGCATTAAATTAAGTAATTTGATGGTTTACCAAATTATTAGGCACAGAAATAAGCAAGTTGTGACATACAAGGAACCCTGAATGCAAGAAAACGGACTATAAGGAACCCTGAACACAAGAAAACGGACTAAAAAAAAATCGTACAATCGTCTCATCCTTTGTGGGTAACCCTGAGCATGGTAAAATATCACGTGATCGAAGTAAATTGGAATATTTTCTGTCATATATTGATCTATCTTTCAAAATTCGTCAGAGACTGTGTAATGAGTACTTTTATACTTAAATATTTAAAATGCTTAGTCAAACAAAGAAGTAAAATATGCAAAGAAAATAAGAAAAATCTTCATTCAATTAGTAAAAATGGGCTCTCTCAGTAAGTAAGTAAGTAATTATTCATTTATGAAATATAAAAAAAACATATAAATTAAGTAAGTAAGTAATATTTCATTTATGAAATATAAAAAAACATATAAATTAAGTGTTTCATGAGAAAATATTTAAAAACCTCCAAGAAAAGAGGTTGTGGGAATATTTCCCCCATTAGACTTTTAACCAGGACCTTTAGTGCACGGTAAACTGGGCATCAAAAACATTGTAAATAAGTCAGAAGCCTAATTTAATCCTTGAGAATATTGGATAGCAGTTGAAGTTGCACATATTGAGAGTTCGATGATTTTCACATTTTATTTCTAAATCCGTTATTTAACATCTAAAGTTTTAACCATATATAATAACAACACGGAAAGAACATTATATTTCGTCTTTTCAAGATTAAGGGGTTTCTCGTTCACAATAACTGTGAAGCAGAAGTCCAAAGGAGTTACGAGCATGCCGCGTTGAATTACATACAGAGCTGGATAGAGAGCTGTTATATTTCCTATTATAAATCAAACACAAAGATTTTATAGTAAAAAGAGCAAAATTGGCGATTTCTAGGTGTTTGACTTTGAACTTCAAAAAGCCATGGAGACGTCTAAATTGATCTTAATCACATCCCTATAAATTTATCAAAATATTCTGATATACCATTATACGAAATTTCAAAAAGATGATACTTTTGAAAACTGACTTATGGTTATTTTAAGCAAAAAAAACCCTAAGTCTTGAAAAGACGGCATCTTGTTTGCTATCTGTATTGTTATTAATCTATGCCTAAAATATATGCTTCTATACTTTTTATTTAGATGAATACTACAGTCCAGTTCACTCTGAAGGGAAAGGAAAAGAAACAGTGAAATCAAAAATATCTCAACAAGAGGTGGGTGTACATTCGTCCGTAGAACATATTGACATACATATTGTAAACAAAGTTTATATTTTCTTTAATTTAATTTTATTGGCTATCTTTCAATTCTAATTCAATCCTTTGATTGATCATAAAGATCAAAGAACTCAGTGTATTTATCTGTTTATTGTTGTGTAAAAATTGTATATTTGAAGTGTACGCTAGCGTATTGTGGGAACTTAATGCGGCTGACGACGACGTTACATTTATACCTGGAAAATCCAGAATGTTTTATGTTCAACAAGGTTTCCAAAAATTGGAATGTAAATATTTATATTCTCCCACTTCTAGAAAGTAAATATAATTATTTTTCTTAGATATAAAACAGCTTGTGAAAAAGTGTTCAAATGTATATATAAACCATTGTAAAGTTACAAAATGTCAAACAGACAATTTATTATATCTCAAATCTGGATTATAAAGACCTGAACAATAATAAGAGCGTGTATGATTCATAAGCAGTTCCACATGAATTCCTATCTAGTTTGATAATCTTATATTCTAACAAACTCAGATTTCTAATTCTAAATTAAACAAAACTAATCCATCCAGAACTAAACCTTAACCTTATACATTTGTATTTTAAACATGATCAAAGCATTGTCCATATACAGTACTATTATATATACATTTATGTCTATTATTCGTGTATATATCATGTACATGTAAAATTTTGCTGGGTTCCCTCGACAATTTTTGCCTAGAAAAACATCCCTCGGTGCGCTTTGAATGCTTTGTAAGCAAAATTGGTCTTGGGAACCCTTGGTAAAGTAAAATTTCCTTTACTTCCCTGTAAAGTAGCTGTAAATAATTAATAATAAATCTCCATTCGAGTGAGGGACATTTTCAATTCACAGGAATACCCTTGAATCCCTAATCTGATTAATAGCGTGGAAGATGACGTCGTTTTTCTTGCATAAAAAGTTCTTAATTCTTTTAATTAATCCATTTATTCTGAAGCAAGAAATGCGCAAGTCACCACCTTTGCACTTGGAAATAAGGATAATCAATTTTAGAAACAAGAACATGGATATTTCATTCATTCTTTATCAGACAAAGCTGTAAGTGGTGTGAATCGGACAAAATATTGAGTTCTAGTTTAGGTAACAATTGGAACAAAATTATAATCGTATCAAACTCTCGTTTGAAATTATTTTAATTTAGCTAGGCAAATTGAGCCTTTGCAACAACCCTGGATTTCTAACCATCATTTTTTGCAACTCAATATCATAGACTTTCAATTAGATAAAATAATCTATTATCAAAAACAGACCGATCAGGTTGAAAAGATAATTTGAGTGTCTTACAAAAATTTCCTTTACTAATACATAAACCTTGAAGACTTGTGCTTAAAAATCTGAAAATATTGACAAAAAGTGCACCAGTCCCACCTTTAATAACAGGATAAGCTTGTTTTATATATTGATATGCAGCAATTAAAGTCGTCGTTACAATATTTACTCAACCTTGCATTTATAATTGTGTATCAAGATGTATTAAGTAGGGTTTCTAGCGTTTTTAAGTGCAATTCCGTATAATTGCAGGCAATGAACGCAACGAAATTGCAAGTAATAACGCGCTGTGGTGCGCAATATCGTCCAACTTTCTTACGTTTATGTTTCAATCTTTTGAGAAAATATAAATTTCAACCTATTGGAACGCACTATAGCAATTGATTATTTTGCGATTTCGTTCAAAAACATTGATTTTTAAAAAATCAATTTAAACTTTGGTAGTGACATACAATAAACTGAACTTCAATAACATTTCAGTCTCAAATGCTGAGAAAAATGAATTTAAACTTAATTTTTGATTTTATAATATTCATATAACAACATAATAACCAGAACACTCTACTATAGAAAAACGACTTTTAGACTCTGGATCTGCTTTTTGCACACATTTTCTTGCAATTCCGCGCAAATCTGCGCAATTCCACAAATATTTAAATGCTTCCTTTTTGTCAATTATAGCGCAATTCCGCGCAGTGAAATGGCGCAAGCGGAAGCAATCATTTCGCGCAATTCCGCGGCAACGAAATTTCGATTGTAACCCCTATTATTAATTTATAACTTATAGAGAATTCAATTGCTAAGATTAGCATGAACCAGCTCAGGAAAGGTAGTTTAACTAGTAACCAAGTTCAACGTCATGATATTTATGAGATATAGTAAAAATAATAGTAAAAATGTCTTCTTCCATAAAATCTCCTAAGTTGTTTAATACCAAAGAGAATAACAACAAAATATTATACGGCAGTCTTTGATATTATATAGTAAAAATGATTTCAAAGTAATCTATATTAGAGTAAAATATTTGTTAACAAAATAAACTGCAAAAAGTCTTTAATATATAAGACAGAATATGGAAGAGGACATTTAAAACTATTCACCAACTGTCATGTTTCGTGGAAAACCCAGTATATTTTGAATTAATAGTGTATATTTAGGATTGTACTATATTAGAGTAAAATATTTGTTAACAAAATAAACTGCAAAAAGTCTTTAATATATAAGACAGAATATGGAAGAGGACATTTAAAACTATTCACCAACTGTCATGTTTCGTGGAAAACCCAGTATATTTTGAATTAATAGTGTATATTTAGGATTGTACTATATTAGAGTAAAATATTTGTTAACAAAATAAACTGCAAAAAGTCTTTAATATATAAGACAGAATATGGAAGAGGACATTTAAAACTATTCACCAACTGTCATGTTTCGTGGAAAACCCAGTATATTTTGAATTAATAGTGTATATTTAGGATTGTACTATATTAGAGTAAAATATTTGTTAACAAAATAAACTGCAAAAAGTCTTTAATATATAAGACAGAATATGGAAGAGGACATTTAAAACTATTCACCAACTGTCATGTTTCGTGGAACACCCAGTATATTTTGAATTAATAGTGTATATTTAGGATTGTACGATTTTTCTGGCAATCGGAGCAGCCATGGGTTGTTTACTAATTGTAGCTTCTTTAATCATGTGTATCCTTGCACATAAGCTTCATCAGGTAAAGACGACCTTCGTAAACAAACGTCTTTTTTCGAATTATTATTAACAATAAACATTTTTGTTTAGACTGTTCGAGCTTCGAGACAGGAAAAATCTGAAATTGTGTTACGAGATACAAGGAATTTTAATATATTTTTTTTCATATTTTCTTTATGGTTAAAAACTAAATTTAGGTTAAATCATTATTGCATTTACAAATGTGTTAACCTTTAAAGAATGCAGCTATAAGGGTTCAATTGTTGCGACTAACCTTTCTTGGCGTTTTTACACGAACTACTTATATTGTGTTTTTTTCTTGAATTTTCATCTTTATGATATAGCTAGCTTCGCTCATATCTATATATATACTTTGCTTGTCTGGGTGTCTGTCTGTTAGGGTTTTTGTATCCAATAAACGCCAACATGGTTGAACTGATCAGGCCTAAATTTTTTGTGGGACCTCAGGTGACCCCAGGGAAAGTTTATGAATGATTAACATTTTAAAAATTTGTGTTTAAAAGTTTTTTATTTCTGTAAAATTTTGAAAATGCGTGAAAAAATATTATGAAATCCGCAAACTTTTTTTTATACTGTGACTAAGAAAATATACTCAAATATAAAGCCACAATTAAAAGTTGAAATAGAAGATGGGCGCGAAGCGCCCCGAAAGCGTATTATATGTAGAGATTTTCTTCTTTGTCTTCGAGCATTACTTGGATTTATCCTGTCAGATTCCTGCTTTTACAATTATATATATATTATATATATATATATATATTTATTTATTTATATGTTCATTATAGCTGGCCAAACGGCTGTACCAAACTGGCTGAAATTTTTTTGAGGGAACCCAGGGTGACATAGGAAAACAATATTTTTTTAATATTTGAAATTCCGTCGGTAACTTTGGGATCTTCAGCTAAATTACGATTTAACACCAAGCACGGGAGTAACTATGAATAATGATATAAATCCAGGCAACGCCGGACACTCCAGCTCGTGAATAATATTTTTATTTCAAAAATTTTATATTTAAAATTATTTATAAAGAAGGAAGTTTGGGTTGGAATCTAGAGCTGGTGGAATATATAGATCAGAGGCATGACAGGAATTGTTTTTAAAAAAAATATCTTTAATTCTAGTTTTGTCTTAACACTTTTTTGTTTGGTTTTTTAATTTTCTTTAAATATTTAACTTTTAGATATACCAAATACCCTATAAATTTTCGATTAAAACAAAATAAAAAGTTTTTATACAATTTTAAAATAAAATGTTGTTTTTGAAAATTATACAGTGAAAGCCAGAACACTCTGAAATACAACATTAGACTCAAATTATAACTTTGAAAAAAAACGTACAATAAACATGATACACAGCAATGGTTCAATGTAAACATATCCGCTTCACTTGATTTGATAGGTTTCTAGCAAACCCTATTTGATTTGTAACAACATCATAAACATTCACGTTATTTCGTCATCCTATTTTGCAGTTTTCTGGTTCTAATTTGAGATATTTCTCGCTTAAATTATGAAAACTTGATTTAGGCGCTGGAACCGAGGCATTCAAATCTTCTCAAGGCCAATAGCAGATCTATAAATGCAAATAGGTAAATGATAGACAATACACAAGTTAAGCCACAATTTTTAAAGCATTGCTTAAATGACATAGTGATTAGAAAATTTTTGTTTTTACTAGGGTTTCCAGTCGTAATTTCTTTACGCGTAATTACGCGTAACGAAACATAACACTTTCTTTCACTTACGCAATTTCATTATTACGCATAATCATTACGAAATTTCGCGAAATTACGTTCTAGAAATTACGCGAAATTACGACGTAATTTCGCGAAATGGATATTTCCCCAATTACGCGTAATCCTGCGAAATTACACGAAATGAAAATTATTACGCGTAACTGCACGTAATTACGCGTAAGAGAATAATCTATTACGTTGGAAACCCTAGTTTTTACAAACATTTATTCCTTCTTAATGTTCTAAATAAATGTTTAGTGAGTTCAGTTTACAGTTGGATTCTAGGTTTGGAAATATAGGACTAAATAGATACGTAGCCAACCCAATCCATCATATTCATGAGAATAGTACAGTTCGGTTGGAGGATCGTTCTCATGATCTTCCTCATGATCGTCCTGGTAAACCTGATCTAGTTGATCATACAGACACTACCAGTGATCTGAATGATCAGTTGATCAGTGAAATGAGGAAACGACTGATTGAAATGCAGGTAAAAATGTCAAGAAAAAAGGTTTGATCCTTTATTATCCAACTTTAGCCAATTAAAGGGAGTGTTCGCAAAAATTGAAATTATAATAATAATATAGATAAACTATAATCATAGTGGTACCATTTAAAAGTAGCTTTGTTTTCAATATAGTTTCAGTAGAAGTAAATATTTCCATTTACTGTTGTTAGCGCCAATTGAAGGATTTATCTCTAATTGGATAATGAGATAGATAGAAAGATAGATGTTACCGCCATGCAATTTCTATTGGTTCAGAATAGACAAAAAAACACATGACTGAACTTTGATTGGATGAGGCGCTAATGTCATACAGAAGAGTTTTACTAGTTTTAAAATAGGATGATAAAAACATGGGTAAAAGTATTACAGCGAGAAATAAACATGATTTTAAAAGGTTTCTCGGGAAAAAGAACGGGCCCAAGATGAGAATAGATGGATGGAAAACAGGTTTAATTCTCCTAATGAAGATGTTCATATCAACTATTCAAGTCTAACTGGAATAGCTGCTCTAAGGTGAGGTTTAATTTAAAATCACACCAACAGTTAAACTTATTCATAATATGACTTTGCAATATTGTAACCTAGCCAAGAGTTTAAGTTATTCATAATATGACTTTGTTAGATTGTAACCTAGCCAAGAGTTTAAGTTATTCATAATATGACTTTGCAATATTGTAACCTAGCCAAGAGTTAAGTTATTCATTATATGACTTTGTTTAACTGTAAACGTACTAGATGTTAATTTGTTAAACCTTTTAAATCTTTTCTCAATATTACTTAGCGTAAATGTAAACTCATTAGGAGTTAAACTCATTCATAACATGACTTTGTTGAACTGTAAACTCATTAGGAATTAAACTCATTCATAACATGACTTTGTTGAACTGTAAACTCATTAGGAGTTAAACTCATTCATAACATGACTTTGTTGAACTGTAAACTCATTAGGAGTTAAACTCATTCATAACATGACTTTGTTGAACTGTAAACTTATCAGGAATTAAACTCATTTAAAACTTGACTTTTTAGAACTGTAAACTCATCAGGAATTAAACTCATTTATAACATGGCTTTATTTAAATGTAAACTCATCAGGAATTAAACTCATTCATAACATGACTTTGATGAACTGTAAACTCATCAGGAATTATACTCATTCATGCATGCATGGCTTTATTTAAATGTAAACTCTTTTACAAAATTATTCAAAAAATTTTTTTTTAAGTTTTTCAGAAGAAAGTGACTTTAGTTCTGGTAGAGGCACTTCAGGTAAAAATATACATTTTTATTAAATCAAGAATTGAAAATTTTACCTTTATTACACGTACACATACTGGAATTAATTGTAATATCAAATATTCCCTACATGGAAAGTTCTCTATGGTTCCATTTAAACCTGTATCTGGTCGATATTGCCCGTTTTAAAGATTTAAAAGTGCTTGATTCTGATAATTCCTATATATATCTGTATAGTAGAAATGCGCAAGTCACTATAATTTAGTATTGACAATGGTCAGTTTTCAAAATTTTAACATTTTTAATTGATAATTTATCACTCAGCGGATAACCGTTTTCAATTGTACATTGCCATCTTTGATTGGAAAAGTCCATTGAAATTACGCTTAAAGTCTCTTCTCTTTAAGGCACATATTTTAAAAAGAACTGTAGCGCCCTGACCTCATTGTAATTTCATTATTATTTTTAGATGATTCGCCACGGTTCCGGGATCGCCTTTGGAGAGAACTTTTATATTAGAATTCGTTATATTTAAACTAAAATTATTTCTTTTGTAGAAAAATAATTTCAACTCATAAATTGAAATACTCCAAACCTCCATGTTTATTGTGAAATGTCTTCCAATGGAGTGATCAAAACTGCTGTGAATAATAAGTGTTAGTATCTTATATTTTGTGTAGGATTGTTGTTCTTTAGATAAAATAAATTAAAATTTTGAATTCTTGTCTGAATCCTTAGAAAAATTAGCTAATAATAATTAAACTAATTTTAGATTTTTTGCCAGAAATAAGTGTCAATATGAATTATTAATCATTTTAAAATCATGCATCTGTAGTAGCATGAAGAAAAGTTTTCTTATTTTAGATGTGTATTGGCAGCAAAAGAAGCGTCTATATATATGTTTATCAAGTTTAATATTTTATATAAATCGTTCTTAATTGGACAAAAAAAAGACTGTCAACAAAATTTTAAATGGCACTCTCTATTTAAAGCGTTTCTTAAACCCGATTAAACATTCATTTGAACAACAATTTTGAAAACTATTAATTTCTATCAATTTCGGCAAAAATCCGCGAGTAACTTTTATAGGGACACTTAAATATGAAAGTGTTGTGTGTTCATTCTAAAATTATTTTTTAACCGACAAGACAAATTTTGCGTGTTTTTTGTTTAACCACCTGTCCAAATTTAAACAATTCTTGTTTGTCGGTGTGTGAAATTAATTTTTAAATTAGATTATTAATCTTAGAAAACATGATAAAATATTTTGTTTGCACCTGAAAGCCCCTCCCCCAGATCCCCTTCTCTCCACTCCATAATTTAACTATACAGCTTGAAGATCTTATTTAAAAACAGTAAGCATTTGTATGTGAGAAAGAGAACAGTGACCAAAGATTATGAAAAAAGTTTCCTTGTTATGTACATAGTATAACAATATATTTAGATTAAATAAATGCGTATTGTAAATCGGGATAAACCCCCAACGGAATTGAGTCTTTCCCACAAATCAAAATGTTCAAATCCCTCTTTACAATCTGATGATGTAAACCTTTGATATTTCAAACTTAGATTATTTGTTATAACATAATTCATAGTTTGAAATATATAAAGTCTTTGACATTACGTTGCAAAGATATAGGGATTAGAAAATCAGAGTTTGTGGCAGAGACTCAATTTTTTCATCACTTTGAAGATTCGTCACAATTTCTGAGGTCTTTGGTTTTTGCCAAGGATGTTAAATAAGGAATGAAAGATTGGGATTACGGATAATTGTAATATAGATCGCAAATTATAACAGATATGTTATCCATCCATGTAATTTTAAGTGACTATATTTCAAGAGGTTAATGCACGATATATAATATACTAACCTATTAGGGTGCTTAGCGCCCATCTTCTACTTCAATTGAACATTTTATCTTTCTATTTATACATTGTAAACCGAAAACAAACAAAAAAGTTTGCGGATTTTATAAAAAAAATTCTGTGGAATTTCAAAATTTATGGAAATCGAATTTTCAAACCTTTCTTGGGGGCATGTGAGGTCCCACACAAAATATGGGCCGATCGCTTCATCCGTTTTCGCGTTTATTGGACACAAACAAACAGACAAGCAAAGTATATATTTATAGATATAGCTATTAATATCATTTTTTTACAGTGCGACCCATAAAACCTGGAATAGGATGACAATATTTAAGCAATTGTATGTGTCTGTGATGTTGTTTTAAACAGTTTTACTAGTAGCTTAAAAATTATCTTAGTAAGCGAAATGTACACAATATGCTGTGTTTCATGCAATTACAATTTATATAAAATAATAACTTGAATCTATCAGTTTAATATGTACCACTGTATTGTTTGGTCACTTTCCATCCTTTATATATAATATCCTTGGGTTTATGTAGTGACCATAAAATATATTCACTCCCAGTACTTATACAACTAATTTATACATTAAACCAAAATTAGACTCTATGAGTTAGATCTTATTGCATTAGAATTATGGTATTCAACCTTAAACCTGGTGTCCCAATAAACTAGTTAAACTTTTTTTTACAGAATTAATTTAAGCAGGGCTTACGCTTTAAACCGAAAATTTTACAAAGTCTAGTATTCTGATTTATGTGTAAAGAAGAGGCTATTGGAATGGCAAAAAAACAGGAGAATTTTTGATTTTTCTCCATGTTATTTTATATTTCAGACAATATTATCGTTAAAATTTAGAAAATGCGGATGAAATGCAGAAGAAGAATTTTATACTACAAGGTAGGCAAAACAAATCTGGTTTCGTATTCTTGAGATTATCCAGTGAAAAAGAAAAAGATGAAGGATTTAAGCCTGATTAAAGAAATATTATCTTAAGTCAACATTTTATCCGTTCGTGGTTATATTTCAAGAGTTTTAGCTTGTAAAAGTATCAATATTTTGTCATCACAAATAACAGAGAGGGTTTTAACATCAATAAAACACATTTGTTCTCGACCTGCCTTTACAGTGGACTAGGTTCAATTTGAGTTAGAACCGGACCGACCCGACCCTATAATATATACGGTTTGGTATAAACTTTGTACAGTACCCGGCCTATCATAGGCCTTTCAGACCTACCCCACACTAGCTTAGTTCAGTGTATCTCTCTGTCATATTGATTCCACCTCATCAAATAATACTATTTGTCACACAAATATATATATTTGTAAGTTTCACACAAGATAGCAATTCAATTCACCACATAAATAGTTTACAATTCATATAAAAACTACTTAAAGGGACTGTCAACGTGATTTCAAGTAAACCTTCATTTAAAGGGTCGCATGCCTGAATCACAATGATTTGTAAAATTATGTAATTAGTCTTGCTTTTCTATTTGAAAATTCACAATCCTCAACTTTGGATTCTTGGTAAAACTGACTCGCGGAGTTAAGCATAGAGCCAAGACAATAAAAATTGGAAATTAGACATATTTTTGCAGTAATATCTTCCTTAATCTTACTCAGATAGTGTTAAGTTTAAAGGATACCATTGTGAATTAGGAAAGTAAATCTTTAAATGGAGAATTACCGGAATTACTACACCAACCACTTTAATACAAAATTCAAACAAAAGTGCAGTCTGGCATTCACGAATTACTTCAGAAAAAAAAACAATTTATAAGTCATTTCTGAGTTTTTAAAGAATCACACGTGTAGTGTATACAACAGTTTTACAAGAATAAAATCAATCAAATGATGTTTATGGACGGAACCTGGTTGAGATCACCTATATTCAATTGGACGGATACGGTTGGCTCAATATTTTATTAATAAGGGACTGTTTATAAAAAGTTTGTCCTTTAAATGTTTTTGGTTGCTTATTTTTTGTTATTTTTGGGGGACAGTGATAATTATAAACAACCCCTTTTCTCGCACTCGGCACTAGTAAAAGATATAAAAATTTTAAAGCATTACTAATTAGTATTCAGCATATATAACCTATATAGCACAAAACCAGATTTATAAAATTTTCCTAAAAAGTCTAATTTGTACACTTAGATACTGGACGGAGATTGTTTACAATGACTAAAAATAAAATCACAGAAAATAGGCAAGATATAGATAAGTAAAAATACTTCTTTCATTGAGCTTGAAAAGATTACTGTATTATTACGTATTCACCGAAACTTGTTAATGGACTTGATTAATGACTAGGTAAGGTTTAGCGGTTCAAAACTTGAAACATAAACATAAAAGAGATTAAAAATATGAATGACTATAAAGATCGGATGGCATTCCTAGTCATACTCATATTTAACCTTTTTTGGGAAAATGTCGTCCGTAAAATCCTCCAAATTTGTTGAGTTTGTGGCAGCAGAAGTTTTGGGGGATTTTGAGTTTTCAGCGGCATTGCGCAGGGTTTGCCCGGGCGTAGGCAGAACAGACGGAAGGTTCATATCAGGTTTAGATTTCTCGGCAATTAACGGAATACTGCGCTTAAACAGATTTTCGGAATTTACGGAATCCTTTGGCGCCACAGGCCACGGCTTCTTGGGAGGGGGACTTGAAGCTACCATTATGGCTACTGGAGTGGTTTTCAGAACTGTGGCTACCCTGAGCAAAAAAAAGTATTAGGAAAAGTTACAAAGACATGAATTAGATACACAATTTGCTGACTGCCAGGAATATTAAAGATTGAAAATGAAATAGAGAATTAATATTAATTTTAGAATAGTAATGATGTGCCATAAGCAATAAGCATGATAACAAGAACAATGAATGTAATTTATTTCTAATCATAATTTTAATAAGAAAATAAAACTGCTAAATTTTTTTCAAACCAATATACCCTCCGATCCAACTTAGAGGAACGAACCTAAAGTTTGGATTGCATGGCTTTAAAGTTAAACGTGTTGGTGGAGTTGAACCAGGGTCTGTAATATTTTGGGAGACGAATTAAATCCATAATATCGCGCAGAATTGTCACAAACTCTGATTTTCTAATCCCTACCTTTGCAACGCAATGTCATAAACCTTAAATATTTTAAATTATGAATTCTGTTAAACGAAATAATCTAAGTTTGAAATATCAAAGGTTTACGCCATCAGATTGCAAAGATATAGGGATTAGAAAATTTGAGTTAGTGGCAAAGACTTAATTTTTCCGATATTTTTATGAAAATTATACGATAATTAGTTGGGATAGTTTAAAGATCGGATATCCCGTCGGTCAGTTTCCCTAGCATCTAAAAACCTACTTGTGTTCGATAGTGTAGAACATGAACTCGTCATAGAGTAGTCGTATCAAATGGAAACTCCCAAAGCTAGATGCACTCCGTAGAGTCAGATCACGGATGATCATACTTGAGTAAAAAGACCATCTGAAAAAAATGTTTAATTATTTATGGTAAAAAATATAATACCTCACTCTAATACTAAACTTTCTAGGACCTGGGAAAGAATTTATTGAATTTTAGTTAGGTTGTTAAACTACACAAAACGCTGGTTCAAAGTTTGAGTATTTGAATCGATGATTCAGGATTTGATCCGGCGGCAGGTGTTCAGCAACCTCTCCAATACATTAAATTCGGTCCCTGGTTCAATTTAAAACATTTGTCCATGCTCAGAAATTTAATGTACTTTGTTAACCTGAAAGGGACTGTAAAGGAAAAATGAAAGGGAGAATAGGCTGAAACCTAAGTATTTAAGGAGTTGATCGAGAACCATATGAGTTCTATTGATGTTCCTGTTTCGAGAAATTGATAAAAAACTGTGTAAAATTTATACGAAAATTTATGTAAATAGAATTTTGTATAAAAATAGTAGGTTTAAACGGATCATATTCAGCAAATAATCAACCAATCTGAAAATGACGATAACCCAGAGGAGCCAAAGTAACTTAGGTTTTCATCTATTATTATTTGAATTTAACAATTTTTCATTTCATTTTGAGACCCATCTGATCGAACTCTCATGGGTCTCGTTCAACATAATGCTTAGGTTTCAGCCTACACCCCAATTCATTTTTCCTTTACAGTCCCTTTAAACACAAAAAAATTGTTTTCTTATTTTCCTGAAATTAAACTCTAAAAACATTGTTTATCTAACCTGAGAAGAAACTGTTTTGCAGCCGCTGCAATGTTTTCTTTAGTCTCCGCCTTAAGCACACGGTCCGCCACACCCTCCAACCACTCCGCCCAGCACTCCAGGCTCACCTGCTGACTCAAGGTATCCTTGAAGTCCTGCTCCAACTCTAGAACTAGGCTGGAGTCACAACCACACACCCAGCTTGCCTGCTCTTGAACATTCGAGAAATCCACCCTTGAAAATATAAAAATCAGGCCTGGAACTAGAGGGGGGGGGGCACAGGGTAGACAGGGGAGCACAGCTCTCTTACACAATTTCACATATAGGCGGGGGAGGGGGGCGTGTCCCCTTGCCCCCCCGTAATTACGACCCTGATTATAATTGAAAAGAAAAATACTAAATCAATGATATATAAAAATTTAAAACGACAATTGTCCTAAAAAAAACTGAAATAGCTATGTCAACAACCGTTTACAAATCTCTCCAACACGTTGTGATAAAAATCGTTCAAAATCTACCTGTTTAGATCTGCCAGCATTTGTGTAATCTGCTGATTATTCTGCAGAACTGCTCTAGCGGCCTGTATAAAAAAAGAATAAAAAGCTTAAATAAATAACGCTAGATGTCTCTGTTCAAAAACTTAAAGATTGGATAATCAATAAAAACCTGAGCTAGATGATTCAAACTTGTATATCTTCTTAATGTCTGAGAAAACGCCCTTAAAAAAATACAATAAATTTAACAACTTAAACCTTTAAAGGCTCCATGAGGAATCTGAATCTATGCATGACTCCCCCCCCCCCCACCTCCTCCCTAATCCCCAGAAAAATACCTCAGACTTAGGTGTTTGGTTGAAAATGCAATGTATGATTTATCGTAAATAAATTTTTTAATCTTTAAAAAATTATTTTGGTGTTAGAAAGGTTTTAAAAAATGTCAAAAAAATATCAAAATAAGTGAAAATGGTCTACTTATGGTCTATTTTAAAATTCAAAACGGAAATAGTCCAAATCTAGTAACTCTTCCTCCATCAAGAATTGAAGAACAAACCCTTATATAGATATACTACTACCTGACAGTATTCAGTTTTATTGTTTTTATCTCAGAGCTCCAATCCGACATAGCACAGGTCATCCAGGGCTCTAGGGACTACAAATATATTAAGTAAAATATATTTAATCTAGAGTTTGGAATTATATTTACAAAACTGTCAAGATTAAAATGCCTTTCAATTTTGGCCCTACATATTGAATTGGGGACCATTGTTAGGACATACCTATTTACCACAATCTAGTTTTTAAGGAGGAGAGGATATTCATTTTCAAATTATAATTGGAATCGTTTGGCTGTCATTAGAATTAACCATTAGAATATCTTTAAAATTATTAAAAATTTTAATAATTAATAAAAATTCGATAAATTTTAACTAAATTATCAAAAATCATTAGAATTATAAAATTTTCTTTAAAATTATTAAATATCATGAGATTTTTAAAATTTCCATGAATTGTTAAATAAATTTATGAGGAAAATTATCATTAAAATTATTGAATTTTCTTGAGAGAAGGCATTTTCAAATTTTTCTAAATTATCAACCTTTTTATTAGCATTTTAATAGCTCTTCTTTAGCATAGAATCATCAGCTTTTTATCAGAAGTTAAGCTTTTATAGAAATTATTAAATATTCACTGTAATTATTAAATTATCATTAAAAATATTTAATTTTCATTCTGTTCATTAAAATCTTTACCTTGGCAAATGTCCTGATAGCTTGAGTAAGGGTTGGAGGTATTGGTCGTAGAACATCAGGGATAAGGATGTCAACTAGAAAATGATAAGATATGTTTTTATATCTATAGGAAATCATCTTAATTCTACAGCATATCAAAAAGAGCATCTTCATTAGCTTTGTTTTTGTGAAATCCCCCTCCCCTCTATTTTATAGCTATTTATCTACTGCGCAAACAAATAAAACCTACAGAAGCTGAGATTGAAAGCCAAACAATTAATTCTCAAAACTCAAATTTTCTAATTCATATATCTTTGCAACCTAAGTGTGTAAACCTTTGATATTTTGAGTTTTTGCCACAAACTCAAAAAAAGTATATTACCTAGAGCCTGGTAGAATACAAAGTCGCTTTCTTGCACATAATTCTGTATTTTGTGCAGAGTAAACAGCTGAAGAAGTTTTTCCTTAGAAACCGGTTTTTGCTGCAAGTCAAGCATGTCAAAATCTTTCGCATCGCTGAGATGCCAAAATTCAGTCTGAAAAAAAAACATTTTACTTAGTATGACTGCTGAAACACGAACTAAAGATCGTCAATGGCTGTCATTGGCTATCTAAGGACAACGATGTGCACCGAAAAAAGTTATATGATACACTACATTATGAAAAGCTCATATGTCATTATACTTTGAAGAAACAAGTTTGGCATTATATAGCTGTTCGAAATCAAAGAATTTCAAGTTTAAAAAACTAATTGTATTTTGACTAACATATTTTTTTGTTAGTTTGATATTTTTCGATTTTTTTTCTAGAAAAAAAGAGGAGAATAAATTTGAAAAAGAAAATGACTTACCCATATTTTCTCAATTTCTGTAAAGTTGAGATTAATGACACAGTCCAGTATCCTGGTGAGATGCTTCTTGTACATGTCTGTGAAGATGGTGATGGTCTCGGGATCCAAGTCGGGGGGAATCTCCTCCTTGTTGACAGCTAGAGAGGGTAGGGTTATACCCTGAGCTGGACCCAGGTATTCACTAAGACTTGATCCAAGGGTTGAACTCACCTGAATATAAGGTTCTGATTAAATTTCCATTTTTATTGCCATTAAAAGTAAACAAAAATATTTACAAAATGTGCAAAGTCTCCGTATTTGTAAAAAAGTGAAAAGTCACAGCTCAATCTTTTTTTTTGTCTGAGGTTTTCCAAAAAATTTAAAGATGTGCCGAAGAAAGAGAAGTGGGTCTCAACAGAGATTTAGTTTGGCACAGAAAAATAATAGAAAATGAACTTTTAAATGAAGTACAAATGCTGAACAGTTAATACATGAATTGAGAGATATGAACTATAATTAAACAGTAAACTCTGATAAATGCTTTACCTACCTGGAAAATATTAGAATTAGAGTCTAGTCTAGGAAAGAAATACTTTTTGAGGCCTGTTTTTCACCCATTCAAGGTTTTTTTGGCTTTAAATAAACTTTAAAAGAGTCTGAGATGCTTAACACTCAACAAAATTCTATTTTCTTTAAGTTTTACCAATCGTACTGATAAATTGTTTTGGTTCATAACTCCAGCCAGAGTAAAATATTTGCAAGTAGAGGTCAAAGCCTTTTAAATCTCCCATAACCTTGAATGTTTGAAAAATGACCTCAAAGCTATGTTCATGAGTCTGCACTCTACCTGTAGAGATTGGTCTGGTTGTTCTCCCAGCTTCTGAGTATTTGAGGTTTTCTTCTTCTGTGCTACAGGTGGACGCGGAGAAGATACGTCCAGGTGGTTCAAGGTAGAACTAGGCTTCACTCGGATACCGTAGTAATGACAGCTTAAAAAATCAAAACCATAGCTTTCAACCGCTGTTGATCGGGCATTGCCTTATTTACATGGAGGGTCACTTGAAATTTCGCTTACATTCCCTTTAAAGATTGAATTTGATGAATGCAAAGGTTTACAAAATAAAAAGAAATAAGAGAAAATATAAATAAGGCTAAGAAGAAACAAAATAAAGTCGAGAAAAGATTATGATTTATTCAAAGTAGAAATGAGCTGAGCTAAGATAATTTTTTTTATTTTCAATGTTTTCTTTGTTGTTGTCAGGATAAAACTAATTTTTGAGATTATTTCAACAGTTTAAAGTAAGGAGTTTGATGTACATATAAGAGATCCTACCTTCTTGTTCTCAGGCCTAGAAAGACGGATCGAATGAGTTTTCCAAAGCTAGCAGCATTTACTGGATCCTGCTTAGATTCATTACAATGTCTCAGGTAGTGAGAGTAGAGGGTAGATCTAGGAAGAGAAACTCCTTCAGCAGTCTCATAGTTGGCAATCAACCACTGGATTGTTATTGGAGATACACGGGTTGCGTAGCTCATGGAGTGTCCAGGGTTCGGACTCCCACAGCTGTTCTCAATAGAATCCTGCGGGGATCGACTGACAGCTGTGATTAAGGGCGTAGTTGACCCATCAGGTCCAGGCTGGATAAGAAAGGTGGATCCAGCATAGGAAACCAGCTGGGACTGGGGAGAGGTCACATTAGTCTGAAGACCGGTATATGTTGATGTATCGTAGAATGTCGTGGCTGAAGGGGAGGTAGAGTTAGGATACAAGGATGGAGAAACATAAACAGCTCCTGGATATCCTCCTAAACCTCCGCCAAACTCATTGCTCTCCACGTACTGCAGAAATGAGGCTGCGGACGCCTGATCATGGTCGTTAGAGGACACAGATCCCAAGTAGGTCGCTGAGTCTAGAGACTCCAGCTTGTTGTGGGTAAGAGGAGGAGGAGAGGGTTGAGAGAGTTCCATATCTAAGCATGGAGAGTGAGCATTCTCTGCAGACAAGACATCCATCCTAAAAGAATCAATTCTTAATAATCCTGAATTTGATCAAATTCGTTTTGATGAGCTTACAGGAAAATCATCTTGAATCAAAATGGACAAAGAAACTGAGTTTTTTTTCCACAAACTCAAATTTTCCACTTGCTACATTTTTGCAACCTGATGGTTTGATCTAACAAACTTTAGAGTTTGACATATCTAACGTATACGACATTGGGTTGTAAATATTAATAATAATTGTAATCAGAGTTTGTGGCAAAGACTCAATTCCTTTAAGTCTTTTCAGATTTTTAGAATACCTGTATATTTCTAAATGGGTTCCAAATTAGACAAGATAAATTTCCTTTTATAAAAACCAATATTTGAACGATATACGAGTGTGTATAGTATACCTGGGCAGGGGTTGATCCGTATTAAGCAGAAAGTCTCTGTTGATACTCTGACCCTATAGTTGAACTTATTAATAATTCAGACGTGTATCGATCTTTTTTATCAGATTTTATACGTTTTAGGCAATTTTCTATAAATTACTGTACTGAGTATACATTCAAACTGAACTTTTGAAAAACTTAACAAAAATATATTTTAAAGATATTTTTGGGCCCAAAACAACTGAAGGGGGGGGGGGGGTATTAATGAGGCCACAGCAGTTTACTTCATTCAAATAGAGATTGTTTGAGTAGTCATCATACATTTTTAATCATCAAAACTAGGTCGAATTAAGAAGTCCTAAAGAGGGAGGGGGGGGGTGATCATATACAGAGGGAAACCTAAGTGAATGATAAAGCCCACTGATTGCTATGAATAGTGAGATTTAGTTCAACTAGGTATTGCTAGCTGAACTACTTATATATTGTGCACTCCTGTGCACTCCTTGTCACACAAAAGAACCAAGTCATTAATTTTATAATTGATTTTATAATGGTGAAATATTTGGTAAATTCTTTAAAATAAAAAAAGTTTTTTTTCTTCAATTGCAAAAACAATCAAAGGGATAAGGCAATATTTCTGAAAATAGAGATAATTGTTAATTTTGTGAACTAATTGGGGATATTCATTCTATCAGAAAATGTTCATCTACATGTTTGGAAATCTAAATTTTCGGCAATAATAAATTGATAAAAACCTTCTTAGATTTGTTGATATCTCATTTTTGGTTTAACCCTATATTATTATTTTTTTTTAAGACAACTAAGTCCGAATTTAATGAATTTGAGCCGCGTTTCATATCCCCCAAAAACCGCGGCTTAAATGTAAGCCGTGGCTCAAATTCGTTAAATTCGGCCTCTGTTTTGTTTATTTAATATCTAAGTAACGTATATCATATATCATCTTATTTGTATTGTAAACATAACTGTTAGTAAACCGGAATAAAGTAAATATATAACATACTAGCTTGGGAACCCAGCGTTGTCTGAAAAAAAACTTTTCCTGTAAATGACAACCCACGCCAAAATTTAAGACAAATCGGTCTAGGGGTTTATGAGTTACATCCTCCTACAACTTTATGAAACAAATACGATGGAACCCATTAAACTGTGGAAAAGGAAATAAATAAAACGAATTTCTAATAGCCTTCTTTTCCCATGAAAATGGAAGAAAATCTGAGTTACTAATATTCTTTTCAATACATATTTGAGTAAAATATTAAATATTAAAGTATTTTGGATCTTAAAGGTCAGAGAGTTGCAACTTTCGAACAAATTTTAACCTATAATACTATGTTTTTGTTGGGCTATATTATGGAATGAATAAGTAAATCAATTACCAGTATTCCGTAGGATGAATGAATACATGAATTAACAGTATTCCATAGAATGAATGAATTGATAAATTAGCATTATTATATGGAATAAATAAGTAAATGAATTTCCAGCATAGTAAAAAATGAATGAGTAAATAAATAACCAGTATTATGGAATGAATAAGTAAATCAATATCCAGTATCCTACAGGATAAATGAATAAATGAATTACCAGTATTCTAAGGAATACATGAATAAATGAATTACCAGTACTCTAAAAAATACATGAATAAATGAATTACCAGTATTCTAAAGGAAGAATGAATAAATGAATTACCAGTATTCTAAGGAATGCATGAATAAATGAATTACCAGTATTCTAAAGGAAAAATTAATAAATGAATTACCAGTATTCTAAGGAATACATACATAAATGAATTACCAGTATTCTATAGGATGAATGAATAAATGAGTTATCAGTATTCTATAGGATGAATGAATAAATGAGTTATCAGTATTCTATAGGATGAATGAATAAATGAATTACCAGTATTCTATGTAATGAATAAATGAATTACCAGTATTCTATGTAATGAATAAATGAATTACCAGTATTCTATGTAATGAATTAATGAATTACTAGTATTCTATGGAATGAATGAATTAATAAATTAACCTTTATTCTATCGATTTAATAAATGACCAGTATGCTATGGAATGAATAAATAAATGAATTAACAGTATTCTCTGGAATGAATAAATAAATGAATTAACAGTATTCTTTGGAATGAACAAATAAATAAATTATCAGTTTTCTATGGAATGAATGAATAAATGAGCTACCAGCATTCCATGGAATGAATGTAAGGATGAATTACCAGTATTCAATGGAATAAATGGAAGTATGAATTACCAGTATTCTATGGAATGAATGTAAGGATAAATTACCAGTACTTCATAGAATGAATGAAAGGATGAATTACCAGTAATTTATGGAATGAATGTAAGGATAAATTACCAGTATTCCATGGATTGAATGTAAGGATGATTTACCAGTATTCCATGGAATGAATGTAAGGATGAATTGTCAGTATTCCATGGAATGAATGTAAGAATGAATTACCAGTATTCCATGGAATGAATGTAAGAATGAATTACCAGTATTCCATGGAATGAAAGGATGAATAAATGTATTACCAGTATACTATGGAATGAATGAATAAATAAATTACAGTAATATTCTATGGAATAAATTTATAAATGAATTACCAGTATTCTAAAGGATGAATGAATAAATGAATTACAGTATTCTATGGAATGAATGAATAAATGAATTACAGTAATATTCTTTGGAATAAATTTATAAATGAATTACCAGTATTCTATGGAATGAATGTAGTTTCTGAATAAGATTGTTCTGCTCCAAACTAATATCTATATACAAACACTTACTGTTGAAGATTATTCCCCTCCCTTTCTCTCATGCGTATAATTCCCCCACCCCCCTTTTATCTACTGTTCAGAATTCTAAATATCCCCGGATAGAACGATTAATAACATTGTAAACCTGTATATAATGTGTATAAGCCCGCATTGATTAGTTTGGAAAACAGATAATAGAGAGAATTATTATGAAAGCAAATATACATAGATAGATGATCATGCAATTCTAATACTTGTTAGATATGAACGACAATGATACTTGGTTTATAGAAAAGAATCAGCAAAATTAAACACAAATAGACTTGAGGACGACATACAACTATTCAAATGTATCAACCCTAGAGAATTGACGAATAATTTTCTGCGACCCTCAATTCTAATAGAAGCATGGCTGAATCCCAATTGTACTCTTAAACTCTTCTTAACCGAGAAATATGTGGAAAAAGACGTCGTATTTCTGGCTAAAAAAACGTTTAATTCTGATAATTTATCTCCAAGGTTTCTGAAGCAAAAAATACGGAGGGTACTTTTGCAGAGAAAATGAAATTTAAAAATAAACAGATTTCAAAAAACAAAAACAAAGCTTAATAATGTGAATCGATAATGCCGTTCTATAAATTACGTTTACAGTCAACTGAAGATTTTATATTTCGTCTTGACTACGTTTTGGATTGAAAGTGCAGACCCTAAAATTAAAAGAGGGGCATTTCATATTCACTATGGTACCCTTTTGAATTCTATCTGAGTAATCATTTTCTATTCTTAAAAAGTGTAGAATTATCCAACTCTGTTAAGTAACTTTTCTTAGTATGCCACTGTTTTAAATAATACATTTTTTGTTAGAAAAAACTGATTACTTCATCATTTTCAGATATTTGGTAGCACTGTGAATCTTGCATACTGCTCTTTAAGTGCATTTTGAAGCCGCTGCACTATTGTGTATCAACCAAATAATCCGTTGGCAATTAAAAAAAAACAATCTATATATAAAATTGGCTTTTTTGTCTGTTTGTTTGTTTGTATCCAATAAACGGCTGAACCGATCGGGCCCAATTTTTTTGTGATAAAAATTTAAAAAATGTGTGCTTAAAAGTTTTTATTTTTGTAAAAAAATTTAATTTTTGAAAATTCGCAAATTTTTATTATAAAAACTGCGAAATTTCATAATTGAAATAGAAGATGGGCACGAAGCGCCCTAAAAGTCTAGTATCTAAAAAATGTTTTGTGATTAAAATGAATATAGAAAACTGGTTGTTTTAAATTTCCAAATGTATAAATATTTAAGAGGATTACTAATCATTCATAATTTTTTGATCAGTTTAAAAAGTAATAGAAAATTATAATGGATCAATAATTTATTCTATGTTCCTTAAACAACAAATATTTGTTGCATTATTTACGGTAGCTTAAATTTATTATTTCAAAACATATGTCAGGCTTTATTGATATAAAAGAGGGAAATTTAAAGGAAAAATGAATAAATGAATTACCAGTATTCTTTCCTTTACAGTCCCTTTAAACACAAAAAAATTGTTTTCTTATTTTCCTGAAATTAAACTCTAAAAACATTGTTTATCTAACCTGAGAAGAAACATAGAAAAATAGGGGAAACATGGATGAAAAAATGACGAATATGCAGGAGGAAAAGGGAGGGAGAAGAAGCAAAAGGGAAGGTGAAGAAGAGGAAATTCTGGGTAGAAGTAAGAAATGAGGAGGTATGGAAGGCAAAGTTGAGGGGGGAAGGAAGGGTCGGAGGGAGAGGGAGGAAAAGGAAGATAGAATGGGGTGCGAAGTAAGTCTGAGGAAAGTACAGCTGAAAGTGGAAAGGATAGGGAGTTAAAGTGATGGAAAGGTAGTGAAAAAGTAGGAAAATGAGGGAAAGGTAGGGTAAGGTAGTGCAAAAAAAAAGAAAAGGGAGTGAAAATGAGGCAAAGGGGTGGAAAGGGTGGGAAAGGGAAGAAAAAGGAGGGAAAGGGAGGGAAAAGAAGGGAAAGGGAGTGAAATGAGAGAAAAGAAGTCAAGTTAAGGATAGGAAGGAATAGTGAGGGGTGATATGGAGAGGGTCTTTTAAATTGAGCGTTGATAACTTCTTATAACTTCTTATTCCAAAACAGTTTGCATTGTATGGGTAAAGGGGGGAGAGGACAATAAAAAAAAGAAAATAGAATCAGAAAAAAATGGTACTTTTTCAATTAATAAATCCCCTTACTGTAATGAGTCAATTTTTATCAATGATTATGAAACACCTGCCTTAAATATTCAATACAATCTGTGATGATCAGACCTGAATGCTGTCGTTATCTTGATATCTATGAGTATTTAACCTGAAGTTGTACTGCAGGGTAACTCTGTCTCTCCCAACTATCCTTACGGCAGGGTGGGACATTCCCCAGGACCACCATGAGGGAATGTTTGTCAATACACATTGGGCAGGCTGGCTGCCAGATGGGGAATGCTTGCTGGGAGCTGTATTGTCTAGAACATGGAATCCAACCAGACGGGATGATGCCTAGTGATGCTAGCATTGGGCAAGGAGATGATTCTTTCAACACGTTCTTCTCCGAGACCGGATCTGGCAAACATGTTCCCAGGGCAGTGTTCGTGGACTTGGAACCTACTGTGGTTGATGAGGTAAGAGCAGGAACTTACAGACAGTTGTTCCATCCGGAGCAGTTGATAACAGGGAAGGAAGATGCAGCTAACAACTACGCCAGGGGACATTACACCATAGGAAAGGAACAGATTGAGGTGACAGTAGACCGTATCAGGAAGATGGCAGAAAACTGTACAGGCCTTCAAGGCTTCTTGGTTTTTCATTCGTTTGGTGGAGGAACAGGATCAGGGTTTGCTTCTCTTCTAATGGAACGTCTCTCTGTTGAATATGGAAAGAAGTCCAAATTAGGATTTTCCATTTATCCAGCCCCTCAAGTTTCCACTGCTATTGTTGAGCCATATAATGCTATCCTTTACACTCATACAACCTTAGAGCATTGTGACTGTGCTTTCTTAGTTGACAACCAGGCTATCTATGATATCTGCAGAACCAACCTTGACATTACTCGGCCATCATACACAAATCTTAACCGCCTTATTGCTCAGATTATATCTTCCATAACAGCATCACTGAGATTTGATGGAGCTCTGAATGTTGATCTAAATGAATTTCAGACAAACCTAGTTCCTTATCCCAGAATTCACTATCCTTTGGCAACCTATGCTCCAGTAGTATCTGCTGAAAAGGCTAACCATGAGAAGCTTGCTGTTGATGAGATCACAAAAAAATGCTTTGAACCAAGCAACCAACTGGTAAAGTGTGATCCAAGAAAAGGAAAGTATATGGCAGTGTGTTTGCTTTATCGTGGAGATGTTGTTCCAAAGGATGTAAATGCTGCAATTGCTGCAATAAAGATATCAAAATCAATCCAGTTTGTGGATTGGTGTCCCACAGGGTTCAAAGTTGGGATTAACTACCAACCTCCAACAGTGGTTCCTGGCGGGGATCTAGCCAAGGTTCATAGAGCAGTCTGTTGTCTCTCAAATACCACTGCAATAATGGAAGCTTGGGCTAGACTTGATCATAAGTTTGATCTAATGTATGCCAAGCGTGCTTTTGTTCATTGGTATGTTGGTGAGGGTATGGAAGAGGGGGAATTTGCTGAAGCTCGTGAAGACCTGGCTGCATTAGAACTTGACTATCAAGAGGTTGGAACAGAGAACTATACAGATGATGAGGAAGGAGAATACACTGGACAGTATTCTTACACGTAATGATCATCTTATCTACTACTTTATTGTAATGTTTAACTCGCACATTAATCTAGTATTTGTCGTACAATTTAGCTTGTAAGGACTTAGGGTCATGGATGGATATATAGGATCATATTGTACTTAAGATTTAAGGGAACTAGTTTTAAGGGACTTAGGTTTAAGGGAACTAGCTGTAAGGGACCTAGATTTAAGGGAACTAGCTGTAAGGGACCTAGTTTTAAGGGAATTTTCAAATCACACACGGTTTGAAATTAGTAATACATATTTTCAGAAAGCAATAAAAAGGTTGTAAAAATGATTATTTTCTAAATATAAATTCAAAAAATGTAGCTTCCATGGATTCAGGTTGTTATGAAAAAGTTTCATAATTTGTCTAGACTGGGTCGACTTTAAAGTGTCGAAACACATTGTCCTTAGATTTTACCTCACAATCTCAGTAATACTTTTCTGTAGCCCGAAACATGTTCATTTTAGAACCTTATATCTTCTAATATAAGCTTTAAATTTAAAGAAGTAATTGGCAAAATTATCTTTGATCTTTGCGTGAGAATTTGCAATCTTTGTTTTAAGTGAGCAATCACTAGTTATATTTAATCTACAGAGCGTGCAATATCATATTGAATTATCTTCAAGCTTCATCTCCTGGATACACGCAGAACACGTAGAATAATTGAAGAAAATTAGAAGAAGGTTGCAAAGATATAGGAATTAGAAAATCGGCATTTGTGTAAATAAAAAAGTACTCTGAGAAACAAAAAACTGGTGAACTGGAAGACGACATTTTATCAATATTTGATATTTTTACCATTAAATAGTTTTGCTATTGACTTAGGTTATCACATATTAATTATAGTTGGTCTGTTTACACTGCACAATTACTGTGTCTATAACTTATATATTGAAAGTCTAGAACTTGAGTCAGAAAGTGGTCCTTCTATTCCAGTTTTTCTGTTTCTCACTCAAGACCACATTTTAATGTGTCTTCTTTCATAAAATTTTAATATTTTTATTTTAATCAAATCAAATCAAAATCAAATAAAATTAAATATTTATTACATGAAGATTTCAAGTTTAGACAATATTTCACAAAAAAAATCAAATGTTTGAGGGAAGACATTTCTCAATTTTAATACTGCAAAAAATATAAGAATATATATAAAATTCAAGTTCTTTAAATTTAGGTGTTTAAACAACAATGACACAATTTAGCCTTTCAAAAGTGAACCCCTGTAATTTATCATATTGCTTTAGAAGCAGATTTAAAAATATTTTTAGATTCGAACTGTTTAATTTCAACAGGAAAATTATTCCAAGCAGAAGGCAAAGATACAAAAAGGAATCTTCTAAGATATTTCAGATCTGACTCTGGGTACAAAATAATCAATAGCATTCAGAGTTTTGAAAAAAAAAAAATAATCCTGGAAAACCATAAAAATCATTTTTGATGTAAAATTAGATCATCAAAGGGCAGGATCTTGAGCTTAAAAATCAAGGGATAAGTATGCGCGTTATATTTAGCATTGCAAATAATTCTCACAGCTTGGTTTTGTTAACTACGGATCAAGTTAAGATTTTTGCTACTAGTATACAACTATAGACAGGAAGATAATAAAGTAAGTATTGGTGGAAAAGAGCATATAGAATATTTTGTTCGTACACATATTGGTACAATTGATTAAATATGGGATATTTGATATTTAAGACTACAAACCATTTATATTTACAGTTGTATTAATTATAACAATAAATTGAAGACGACTTTTTTATTTAAGTTTTGATTGTTAACAAGCCTTTTTCGAATTACAAGTTTACAAGTAATTAAAGAAAATATTTCTCAATTTATAGCTTCTTTGAATTCTATGTTTATGTGTATATTCATGCTGTTTAGCAGCTTGATATATATCAAAGTTAAAATCGAAAGTCGTCTTCATTGTGTTGATATATGCGACGACGGTATAACAAAATAAATCTAGACCCAACACAGACGGTTAATAACTCGGGACAGGTGATCCCGCGCGTCCGAAATCGTGAACTTCGATTTCATTTGATCTAACCAGATGATAATTTTTTTAAATAAAGAATTTTCCAATAATTTTCATCAGCCATTTCTGCAAATGTTAAATTATTTTGTACTTACGGTTTTGTTAAATTAGTATATTATTTTGATATATATCTATATGGTATATGTCTATCTATATTCATTTATTCTTATAATACATATTTCTGAATTTATGACTCAGCTTTGCACTTGTAACACATATTTCAGCCTTCTTTTTACAATCTTTGCACATTCATTATTATTGTAATTGTTCAGTTATAGGGTGCCATTAATAATTCCCTACTTCTTGTACAGGGTGTCCCAATAAACATGGGAATTCAGTGACGAATTCGATATCGTCTTTTTAAATAATTCTTCGATTTAGTAAAGTGATACCTACTAAGAAAGCTGTAATCTGTAAGAGTTTCGTCTGCTATGTTCACATTTTGTTTGTTTAATTATGTTTTGACTGCATACGGATGTACTTAGTAAAACAAGAAAATTGCAGTATACAAACAGAGTAAACTTGTCCGTCTTCACTGTTCATCTCGCGGAGACATAATAGACACATCTTTAAAGTCTTTTACCCTTTTCTTAAAATAAACTCTAGCAGACATAATAATATTATGGTTTTTGAAATTAGGTATTACAATGCTAATTAATAACAAAGACGATATCGAATTCGTCACTGAATTGCCATGTTTTTTGGGACACCCTGTAGAATATAAAGGAACTGAGTCTTTTTGCCACAACATTTCAAATCCCTTTATTCTTGCATCCCAATGTCGTAGACTTTAGATATTTCAAACTATGAACTCGGATAAGTCAAATAATATAAGTTTGAAATATCAAATGTTTACACCATCAGTTTGCAAAGATATTGTGATTTGAAAATGTGAGTTTGTGGCAACTTAACTTAATTACTTTAAGTTTACAAAGACTTCTATATACTTCAACGATTCAAGGTTGCATTGTTATTTTGCCATGAATTAAGTGTTTTGCTTTTTAACTGCAGTTCCCGGTAATCATGAAAAAATAAATAAATAAATCAGAATTAAACAAAATAAATTTAGAAAAATTCAAAAATAAAAAAAATTAATGAGAAATATTAAAATAGATCTTAATAATGAAAAACATAAATTAATAGAATAAAAAACTGAATAGATTCCGTACAGTCGTCTCTGAAGATATGTCATCATGGGTTATAAACAGCTGGATATCCTCTATCTACTGTAAGTAATGATTTTGCATTTGAAAGGTGTACTTAACAAACAAACAAAACTAATTGTTCTAAAACCCCATTTAATTATTGTTTTTAATTCAGATATGTATAAATAAACAAACGATATGTTACAAAATTAAACCAAGCAAATCTTTAAAATTTGGGTCAATTAATGTTGATACTTTCTACTTTTATAAATAGTGAAATTAGATATTTATTTTCTATGGCATAAATTCTACGTAAGATATCAAATTTTTTTAAAAAAACGTTCACGCTTAATCTAAATGTAAATGTATAATGTTGCCCCCTATGTTTCTGTCACTACTTTCATTTGAATTCTATATTCGGTCCCGCCCTAATCTAAAAGTTCCCCGCCCACTTTACAATAGTAATAATATTCCAACAAACAAACAAACATCCTCTCTCTAATCGATACAGGAACAGAAACAGGAACCGGATAGAGAACAGGAACAGGAGCAGGAACCAGATAGAGAACAGGAACAGAAACCGGATAGAAAATAAAAGCATAAACAGGAAAAGGAACAGGATACCAGACAGGAAAAAGAACAGGAATAGGAACAGGAACAGGAACAGGAAAAAGAATAGGAACGGGAACAGGAACAGGAACAGAAACAGAAACAGAAACAGAAACAGAAACAGAAACAGAAACAGAAACAGGAACAGGAACAGGAACAGGAACAGGAACAGGAACAGGAACAGGAACGGGAACAGGAGCAGGAGCAGGAACAGGAATAGGAACGGGAACGGGAAAAGGAGAAGAAACAGGAATGGAACAGGGGAACGGACTTTAGGAACAAAAACAAGAAAATGAACAGGAACAGGATCAGGAATAGAAACAGGAATAGGAACTGGTATGGGAGCAGGAACAGGAACAGGAACAGGAACAGGAACAGGAACAGAAAAAGGAACAGGAACAGGAACAGGAACAGAAACAAGAAAATGAACAGGAACAGAATCAGGAATAGGAACAGGAACAGGAACAGGAACAGGAACAGGAACAGGAACAGAATCAGGAACAGGAACAGGAACAGGAACAGAAACGGAACAGGGGAACGGTCTTTAGGAACAAAAACAAGAAAATGAACAGGAACAGAATCAGGAATAGAAACAGGAATAGGAACTGGTATAGGAGCAGGAACAGGAACAGGAACAGAAACAGAAACAGAAACAGAAACAGAAACAGAAACAGAAACAGAAATAGGAACAGGATCAATAATGAACAGAGTTAGTTAAAAACAACCAAAAAGGGCAGGATGAGCAGAGAATTTGATTTGAATTCAAGGCCATTTCATCATATTTTTTATTAAAATATTTTGAACAGCTGTATCTTGTAACACATGTATAACCTACAAATACCATTCATTTCTTAAACTCTTGTAGGAATTCAGCATGAAAGGTTTTAAGCTCAAGCTTTACATAAATTTCTAATTCCTAATCCGGCGACAATAAAGAAAACTATAAAGGAATGGGAAATTCAAGAATATTCCAATCGTACCAAATCCCAATATAAATACTTAGAGTGGGATTGCGCATAAATGTGGAATAGAAAGATGACATTTTAATAGTAGTTTTAATACCCACTTATAAATAGTCCAATGAACATGAAACAAAGCAAAATTGTGTATCATAAACATACCAATTCCCCTAATTAAATTAATTTGCAAGCTACAAGTATAACAACTAATTGCCATTTTCCTATTCCACATTTTAATGGATCCCACAGTATCTTTCGAAACTAACTAGATCTAAGAACATAAAACATCAAAGATATCTTAAAAGACTCAATTTCAAGACATTGTTAAAACTATATTCCCAATTTATGGCTTTCATCATATCAAACTAAGATCATCTGGATCATTCTAAACTAAACTTTCGTCGGTAAGTACTACGTACAGCAGTGATATGCAGTACACTGACCGAAAAAAATAGTGGGTTTTAGTTGTGATTAAGATGTATGAATGACCGTAACATTTTTGACTCAATTTGTGATTCATGCATAGCACAACTTGATAAAATGAGTCACGTCTGTAGAAATGTCCTCAACATTTTTTCTAAATATATGTAGCTTCGGCTAAATTAAAAATGTTAATTAACTTTACCTTTAACTGCTATTTTTTAATCGTAACGTTACGATCAAAAGTTTTGTAGACAGCAAATTAAATTAAATAATTTTTTTCTTTTTAAATATTATTGTTGTACAATTGAACTTCCAAAGCAAAACACTTTTTGCTTTCAAGTTCACGAGAATAAAAAAAAAACAGAAATCAGAGAACTGAATAATTAAATAATTTTTTCTATTTGTTTCTCATGAAAAATCACTGATGCATCATGTTTTCCAAGTTTTTAACTCTCCACTCCTTTCCATTTCGGGAAAAATCAAAAATCATTGTAAAACATTGAAAGCAAAAACTAGAAATCAGCAATTTAATTCGTTTAGCAAGATTGCTAGAATTCTTCATCATCCCCTTTTATAGAAAAAAATTCAATTTTGGCTTCAGCCCCGTTGCAAAGATAGTTGTCTCCATTTTGCATTGCATAGAATTGTAAATATTAATAAATATACAATTTTATTTATTTATCAAAGTAAAAAATTTAGAGCAGCCTTAGGCCAATACTACTTTTTGAGTTATGTCCCCCCCCACACACACACACACATCCAAGCTGAATTAAACAATTAAATGATAAGATTAATAAAGATTATTAATTAAATAATACACAAGACAATACGCTTTATCCAAGTTTTATATTAAAAAATAAAAAATAAGCTGGCTAATTAGGACACATCAAATACATTATCAAGTACAATAGGTGGCAACAGTGTAATGGATCAATTAAACACGACGTCACAAGTGTCAAAATGGATCAATTAAACACGACGTCACAAGTGTCAAATATAACAAGAAAAATGAAATTTTCTCACATTATTTGACATGTTTCTCAAGATTAAATAAAAAGTGTAAAAACAGTAAATGAATAACACATTAAATTGCACCTTTTTCACTGCTAGATAAGCTCTTTATTCTAAAATTATCACTATTATTAATAATTTTGTCGGACATAATACTGAGTTGACACTTGTGATACAGCTGTACTGAGAGTGTACAAATACTACGTTGCCATCTATTGTACTTAACAATATATTTGGGACACATAGTATTTGATGCAAATATTATTTCTTTATATATTTATCTTTGAAATGAACTTGACGCAACATTAATATTATATTTTATTCATCTCGTACACTAGCAGGGTTGGCTGGTTTTCTGTCAGTTTTCACAAACCAAAATATAGATATCTTATTATTCACACTTGATCAGATAAAGCTTTTATATAATGATTTGGAATTTTGAATTGATTCCAGCCCCTAAAATGATTATGTAAATCACCCATGTTCTCTTATAAAAAAGTAACCATAAAAATAAATGAAATAAAGTAAAACAAAGAAACCGATTGAATTCGCATACTTACTGCAACCAGAACACGCAACTCTGACCCTTTAGTAAAAGTAAATTCAACCTAAAGTCTGACCGCGTCAACCTTGTTGCACCGGCTAGTCCTATTGAGTTTAGTTTGCTTTATTTCTCAATACAGTACAAACTGGGATCGGAAAGGTTGACCCAGCTCGGAAATTTAAATGTACTACGGCTGCCCATGAGAAATGATAGTGAATGCCGTGAGATTTGCTCCCATCAGGGATATAAACAAAGGGAATGATCTTGAAAAAATAGTATATATAGTGCTGTGTTCAGCAAAGCAAAGCTATGATTCTGTCAATAATCACATTATTACATGACAATTTTTCAATTAAATCCTTTAATATAGGAAAAATTGAATTGAATATAAATGGTAACGCGCGATTCATTGATGAAATTAGCTGTGGAACTAAAGTTTGTAACTTTACGAAAAATATAAATTTATCAAGATAAAATGTGTTGAGATTAGGCTTCAGGACGGAAAGGTTACCTGTAGTTGTAAACTTTCTTTGCAAAACTATTCAATGAGCCATTGAAAGACAAAGTAAAAAAGATCTAGGTCATCTTTCAAGTCTCATCCTTTGCGGATATACGGGCCTTTCAGCATCAGGACATTTAAATACCGAATAATATATTCTTTTTAAAACTACTGAACAAACCCTTTAATTATTTAGGAACTGTTGGGATATATCTCCAATATGACAGAGGAGGACGGGTTGGACGATTTAGAGACAGATGAGGGCCAGAGGAGAGAAGATTTTAGACGACGGTTAGATTTCAGAAACTCTGTCCAAGACGAATATATGGAAAGTGAGACAAGTGAGGTATATCTTTTTAAACAAAAATAACTTTTAATTTTTTTAGTAGGAGTTTTTGTTCTTTATATAATTAACTAGCAACCCGTCAATGAATGTGCAAAACATATTTCATTGTGGTATTTAAGTATTGTTTGAAGAATACGGAAACATGAGAGATTATAATGAGAACAATGATAATGATAATAATATTGATAATAATAATAATAATAATAATAATAATAATAATACAT